AATTTGGCATTTCGGGTTTATGGTGGGTATGCCATTTTTCACAAAATATTTTCTAAACAAGACCATATAATGGTCCCGACCATTTTCCGTATGTTGAAGGTCCTAGACGAATTTTCCTTATTGAAATTTTCCTGTAGCAAAGTACCCGCTCCTTCGTATGCGGAAAGGGAATGAAAAAATAATATTTCAAATGGAAATCGTGAATACTATATACATTATTTTTTTCGATTTATTGACCCTACGGTTAATAGATTTCCACGCTTAATTCAACCACATGAAGGGGCAAAAAAATATTACATAGGAAAATACATGTACATTATTTCGGATAATTAAACCCGGTTAATTGATTTTCCCGCTTAATTGGTTCAAAATTCATGTCATCAAAAATAAATTTCCTTTTACTTTTCACCGGTTAATTGCAAAATAATAATTGAAAAATAATCTGGCTTTTTTTACATACATATTTGACGTAATTTGTGACTCTACTAATTGAAAACATATGTTTTTTTTTAAGGAAAAACTGCGAGAAAACGTAATTTGTATTTGACATTGGATATCTTTTAAATCATTAGTAGTTCCAAATATACGTGATTACTGTAATTGAACAAACTATTCAATTAAGCGGGTTCGGATAATTGGTTCCTCGGTTAATTGAACAAAAAATTGTGCAAATTTTGATGTACAAATAACAGAAAAATACTGTAATTTGTCGTACTATAGTTCTGAACTCTATTCCTACATTTAATATCAACTATATAACCATTAAGTAGGGGAGACTGGGGCACCTTCGGCATCGGGCCACCTTCGGCAATCGCGTTTTCGATATGAAGCTCTCACCGTACATCACTAGTTTCGATACATAGGTATCGAATATCGAAATAAATAACTGACACAAAGTTTGAAATTTATAGCTAATAAGCTTATTTAGATACATGGGTTTTTGTATTTTTATAGATGTTTCTGTAATATTTCAATTCCATTTCGTAAGTATTTCGTGTATAAAACTTTTTAAAATTTTAAGACAATATTATTAAAAAGTGGTTAACTACAATGTGTTTTATTATAAAAATATTTAAAAATATAAACTTTCTACAAATCTGATCGAAAAAAAAAATGAAAAAAACTATAAAAAGTACATTGGGGGTACATTCGGCATTTTAAAGTGGGGCACATTCGGCCATATACAGATTGTGCAATATTATTTCCTTAAAATGTTTTTGAGTTTGTCTTTAAAACTCATCCTTTAATATGGCTCGAAATTGCATATATAAGATCAAACGTGCTTGTATTGACGAAAATGCGATAGAAAACCCCTATTTCTGATGGTGTGTGCGACCTTGAGATGTAAACGTCCGTCGCTAGAAAATAAAGCCCAATAATTCAAACATTGTGTGGCGTATTAAAACCAAATAGAGCCTTTAGAGGATCAGAATTTCAACCAGACTGATAGCGATGACAATTACCCGGCTATGACTATGGCGCCGAATGTGCGCCATCAAATGCCGAAGCTACCCCGGGTTGGGGCACATTCGGCGAATTTGACTTTTTTTACAAAACTGTAAAATTTTTTAACTAATACTATTTTTTTATATCTTTTTGGTACTATTTTTTATAATTAAGTGTCAGAGGACAATAATCAGCCATAAATTTGTTATATATGTTGAATAAGTACTGAGATATAGAGCTCTAAAAAAAGTGCCGAAGGTGCCCCAGTCTCCCCTACTCTTCATAAACATAAGCACTATTTTCCGAAATCCATACTTTAGCAAAAACGTACAGGTTCCACAGGTTGTTCCATTTAGAACTTCTCGAACACATAAGTATACATTTTCAAGACTACCTCTATATTATCGTCACCACTAAATTTAGTACCAATTAGTACCAAAACCCCTTTGGCCCTTCTTTCTAACTCTCTGTCAGTGACCAACATACTAAATTTTAGGTTTCCAGCTCTCTCCGTTACCCAAATCCAAATTGTTCCAAATTTAGTAAATTTTCTATTCTATTTACTATTGGTACATAAAACTCCGAGTTTACAAAGTTGTCTCCATAGCTCAATACTACACTTCAACAGTAATCTAAATTCCAAATCTCAGGATTCCACCAAATCCAACTTGTTTCAAATTTAGCACCATTTAGTAATTTTCATACTTATAAGTAACAATTTCTAAAACTACATCAATCCTACACTCTAAAAGTAATTTTACTTCCACCAAAGTCAATTTTTTTCGTACTCATAAGTAAAAATTTCCAAATATACCTCAATCCTTATTTTAAATAGTCCAAATTTATGAATTCCAGCTCTATGTGTTCATTAAAAACCAAATTATATATATAGATATGGTACCATTCTATACTTTTCGTACCCATATACCAAACCAATCTTAATATTCCAAACCTGCTTTCTATCGTAAGTCTAAATTTAAGAATTTCAGCTCTATCTGTTCACTAAATTGTACCCTATTTGGTACCATTCTGTACTTTTCCTACATTCCCAGAGTAACCTAAATTGCAACTTTCAGGATTCGAGTTCTACCTGTTCACCAAAGTCCAAATTGTACCAAATGTTGTGCTTGTCGTACCCAAAGACGAATTGTCAAAAATACCTCAGTCTTGCGCTTCAATAATAACCCTTAATCAACATTTAAAAATTTCAACTCTATCCGTTCACCAACATCCAAATTGTACCAAATTTAGTACCATTTATTACTTTTCGTAGACATAAGTACTAGTTTCTAAAACTGCCTCAATTCCACACTGAAACAGTAATTTTATTTATAAATTTCAGGATAACAGCCCTATCCGTTCACATAGATCCAAATTCTACCATATTTAGTACTTTTCGTACTCATGAGTTCGAATTTCCAACAATGTCTCAATCCTTTGCTATAAGAGTAATTTTATTTTCAAATCCACCCATATCTATCCTTTCATTCAAATCCAAATTGTACCAAATCTATTGCCGTTTAGTACTTATCGTACATATAAATACGAGGTTCCAAAGATGTCTCTATAGCTCAATCTTCAACAGAAATCTTAATTACAAATTCATAGCTTTCAGTTCTATCATTTCAAGCAATATCCAAATTGTACTAAATTTAGTTTACCGATAAGTACAAATTTCATAATATACCTCAGTCCTACACTCCAACAGTAATTTTAATTCCCAATTTGAAGGCTCCAGTTCTAAAACTAAGTACGAATTTTTAAAGCTACATCAATCCTGTACTCTAATAGTTGTCCTAATTGCGATTATCAAGATTCCATTAACTGAATGCAAATAGTACCAAATTTAGTACCATTTTGCACTTTTTATACACATAAGTACGAATGTCTTAAACCATTTCCGTACATCAACACCACTTCCCAACCTGTATTCAATTTAAAATGACAAGATTCTGGCTATATATGTTCAATATATATACAATTAGAACTAAATTTAGTAAAGTTTAGTACTTATAGGTACTAGGTAGTTTAGTACTTATAGGTCTAATTTCCAAAAACCTTTTTGTACATCTTTCTAACATTCTATCAGTCACTAACATTCTAAATTTCAGAATTCTTAGCTCTTCCCGTTCGCCTAATACAAAGGGTACCATATTTGGTACATGTTAGTACTTTTCGTACCCTTCTAGTTCGAATTTCCATTTCGATTTCGAGCTCGGGCAAGTCAGATATAGGCCATGACCAATAATTTCGTTTCGCAATATATCGGTCCACGTTTTGTTAAGTCCCACATTTTCGGAATTTTGAAGGGTTCTTCAGTAATAAACTTCTTCACAGAAAAATAAATGTCTATCTTTTAACAAATAAATGTCCCGCCCTTTTTCGGTAGTACACTAGTGCCTCTTATCCTAAGTGCCTCTAAGATGTTTTGACATAGACCCATCATATAACTTTTTATTATATATATATATATATTTTTTTTGTTTTTTTGAATTTGTTAATACTATTTTCGCACACAATGGGTTAAGCTAATATTTCCCCTCCACCGGCATTCTTAAAACATTTCTTTCGAACACAAAGGCACACACACACAACACTAACACATACGCATTATCAACATTCATGCAATTAAAATCTTGGATTGAATGTGTTTTTGTTTACCTTTCTACGCCTGGGCTGGATGGATATATGAATGACTGCCGGGGCTGACTGGCTGACTAACTTGCGTCGTTGATATTGGCCAAGAAAGCAGCAAAAGAAAGAGAAAAGAAAACAACACAACAACAAAGCCAAGGAAAATATTAAACAAAAACATTTCTTGTATTTCGAAGATGGTTAAAATGCTGAACCCATTCACATTTCAAGTCATTTGTAAAGTGAATCGCGTGAAAGTTGTACAACGCGGCCGCTTCTATAACTCCGGATTGCCTGTCTACCAACGATTTCAACTAGAATACCAACCAAGTGATCTCAGAAAAAAAAATACTGAATGCAATACAAGAAATTATTTTTTCATAAAAAATAAGAAGTAGAGAAATAATAAAAACAACAATAAGAAGAAAATAATTTTGTTTAATATTCTTAAAGAGTGCTTGACCAGTTAAAGACCTACGCACTACAACACACTTAACCAAAAAATTTGGATATTTTACAAGAATACCAATAACCATCCAAAACCCCAATCGGGTCATGACCTAATTTTTTCTTCTTGACCACACCAGTCAGTCATTGACCACCTCTGAACACAAAGTGAAATTACCTTTCAGAGAGTGCGAGTGAGAGCGAGGGAGATAGAAGTGAAAAACGTGTTCAATACAAACATTTACATATTTAATCGATCGTTTTGAAGTACCACGAAAAGAAAGACAACTTTCGCTGTTTGTCACCCTAAGTCAGTGTCGTTTCAAAGTCGAAGGTGGAGAGAACTGTTAACTGGTGCATAGAAAAATACCAAAAAAAAAAAATAGATATTCGTTAATTTGAATATCTAAACATAATAACTTTTACTTTCATCGAGCTTCGAATCGTTAAAGAAATTTATAAAAAAAACAAAAATGTTGAAAATCGCTCTTCTCGTTTTGACATCATTAGTGGCCAGCATCACAGTACGGGCTCAACAACGTAAGTTCTTTTGTTTATTTTTATCGCTTTTCTATTTAGATTTTGTATTAACTACTGAAGAATACAAAAATGGGGATCTACAGTGGTCGGCATATTTATTTAAAGAAAATGAGTTTGGTTGTATATTATGTTGGGGAAATCGTCGAAAATATCGATAAAATAGGGGAAATTTGCCTAGGAGTTAAAAATTGACCATAAAACTGTTTTAAACCATTTACACATAGCTGGATTAAAAAAAAAGCTCGAAGTTCGGATTTAATTCTGTTAATTAACAGAATTAAATTGGATGGATCGAATTTCCGTCTGCAAAGCCTTGATCAAACGGAATGAGTCACCATCAATTTCTTAAATGGATGGTGACTGGAGATAAGAGAGAAATGGATCACATACGATAACCCAGTGCGAAAACGATAGTGGTCAAAGAGCGGTGAAGCACCTCAAACGATGCCCAAACCAGGACTAACGGCCAGGAAGGTTCTGCTATGCATTCGGTGGGATTATTTATTATGAGTTGCCTCCAAATGCTAAATTCTGATCTGGACCGTTTGAAGATAGCAATTGACCAGAAACGCCCAGAATTGGCCAACAGTAGAGATATAGTGTTCCACCAAGACTACGCTAGGCCACACACATCTACAGTGACTCGCCAGAAACTTCGGGAGCTTGGTTGGGAAGTTTTTATGCATCCGGACTTGGCACCAAGCGATTATCATCTTTTTCTTGCATTGCAAAATGTCTTTAATGGTAAAAAATTCGTATCTAAGTAGGATTGTGAATACCGACTACTAGAGTTTTTGAGAGAGGCATTATGAAGTTACCTTTAAAATTGCAACAAATCATATAACAAAACGAAGCATATTAGGTACAAATCGGACATTCCGAAGCATGTTAAATAAAGTCCTATAGTTATATATTACGACATTTAAAAATGGATCTAATTACATATTCCATACAAAATTGAAAATTTGAAAAAAATGACACTTTGTAGTAGAGATCCCATAAGAAGTGGACCAATAGGATCATTTTCAAACTTCATCTAGGCTGCAAAGGATTAACATTTATATTCCTTTCGTTTCATATGAATTTTACAAAATTTGCAATCTTAGGACTTGGTGTAGGTCTAATGGAAATAATATGATACGTCTATATTTTATTTAAAAAAAAAGTGAAAAAGCGTTAAGTTCGGCCGGGCCGAACTTTGGATACCCTCCACCGTAGATATACTGACAGGTACTAGAGATGAAAATATAGAGAACATACCAAAAAGTGGACATATACCGACATTTCTAAAAAGGGATTATATAAACAAAAATAAAAAATTCAGAAATTTTTAATGGGTAATTATACCCACAGATTTATCGCTATTGAGGGTGTATACACATTAACACGGTGAAAATGTGGCTAATCGAAATATTGGTTCTAGACCCCATGTTTCTTTGTCCGTCTTATTATTTCTTCCAATCTTAGTTCAAATTCGAAAATGGGGAATATCGGTCCACTTCTTCTGGAACCTCCATACAGGGGCTAGGTCTAAATGCGGGTTATAGTTCATTATCGAACCTTACGTTCTACTTGTTTATCTCGATATCCTCCGCAGGTGAAATGATTACATCAGAGACTTAAAATGCGGAACAAATCAGATAACCATTTTAATATAAAAAGGGGGTTATATGGGGACTACCCCAAAATGGGGGCGAATATTAATAATTTTTGGTAGGGAGATTTTGTACCATATACAACTACAAAATACCAATTAGCAGCAAATTCGGTTGAAAAACGCGCTCAAGAACCCCAAAATACCGAAAATTGGCGGTACCCTTATATGGTGGCTATCCGAAAAAATGGACCTATATTCATAATTTTTTGTGGAAAGATTTGGGACCTATTAAGAACTCAAAATATTAAATTACAGCTAATTCGGCGGAAAAATACGATCAAAATCCCCAAAATATTGAATATTGAAACTCTGTGGAGACATTTAGTACCCACTAAGAACCCAATGTAGCAAATTTCAGCGAATTCGGTTGAAAAACGCGCTCAAGAACCCCAAAATACCGAAAATTGAGGGGAACCGTTATATGGGGGGTACCAGAAAAAAAGACCTGTATTTATAATTTTTAGTGAGGAGATTTGCTACTCAATAAGAACTCAAAGTACCAGCGAATTCGGTTGAAAAACACGCTCAAGAACCCCAAAATATCGAAATTTGGGGGGTACCCTTATATGGGAGCTATGCCTAAACGTGGACCAGACAAAAGACGACTCTATGCAAAATTTTGAGGCTCTATCTCAATTCGTTTAGGCGCTAGAGTGATTACAAGAGACAGACGGACATGGCTAAATCGTCATAGAATTTTACGCTGATCAAGAATATATGTACTTTATAGGGTCGGAAATGATTATTTCGATGCGTTACAAACGGAAAAACAAAACTAATATACCCTCCATACTATGGTGGAGGGTATAAAAACTATTTTGTGAGGGAGGTATCAGAAGGAGTGGGCCGATATTCAATCTTCGAAAATGATTTAGGTCTCGAAAAAAATTACCATTACCATTCGAGAGTGTGCCAGGCAGCCGGACGGACCTTTATTAATCGACTCCAAATTTTTTGAAACGCATTAGGTTTAAGGAAACTTGCCGCAGCAACCACCTTTCCCATATCCAAGATTGTTAGATCCTCAGCATTATAGATAATGAGGAGATATACATATGCTGAGGGTATAATCACCATGGATATGGGAATGAGGGTTGGCACATTTTTCTAAAATCTCAAATCCAAAATAAAACCGATTATATGAGAGCTATACTTAAATCTGGACCAATATTGATTTTTTTTTGCTGTACAGATTTTTTACCCAATGAAGATCCGAATTATCAAATTAAATACATAAGAATGGACCAATCATGGTAGGGCAACATAAAATATAAAAAATACAGGACAACAGGGGATGCCGTTACATGGGGATATACAAATACAGCCCATATTCGAAATTGATCTGCTTTCGAACAGAAGTAAGCGAGATTGTAGCGTAGGAAATTATAATATCGAGGATTTACAAACGGAACTAGTAAAAACGCCGGGCAGAACTTTGTATACCCTATATCATGAGGTGGACATTCGAAATACCTTACAAAGATCGGGGCGATGCCATGGTAAATTGTTGACACTCAAAGAAAATATAGCCAATTCGGTTGGACAATATTCCCAATAAACTGAATAATGAGGGTACTGATAGGAAGTAAATTTTCTACCCAATGATAATCCGAAATACTAAATAACAGCCAATTTGGTAGAAACGCGTTCCCAAATTTCCCAAAATATCGAAATGTTAGAGGTACCGTTATATAGGTCTAGCCTAAAAAGGGGACCAATTCACTTACAAAGCGATCTCAAAATTTAAGACTGATCAAAAAAATTTTAAATTTTCATAAAGGACTACATTTTGACTAAGTTTTCATAAAAAGTTCCCGCTATAATTTTTTGAGAGTGAAAAGAGTGTTTGCAGAAAAATATTATTTATATGACTAATGTTTTCCGTATTGAGTTCGAGGAGTAATAGCTCTCCAAATTTTGCGAGTTATAATTTGACAATAAACAATAACCAAATTATTTTGCGTCATTATACCCTACAAAACTATGTTGTCAGGGTATTATAGCTTTGTGTAGCCCCAAGAGTTTGTAACGCCGCGAAATATTGATCCTAGACCCACATTGCATTGCATGTAGGAAGGGTTCTGGCCAATGAAGACCCCTATTGTTTTTGGTAAAAGTAGGAAAATTTTTGGGAGATGAAATGGACCAAATACTTTATTTTTGTCGGTTCCCCAGAGGCCGCAATTATGGCCCGAACATTGCGAAATTTTACATGGAGGAGAAGATCGGGCAAAAGAATAAACATGTCTGTTTTGAAAGGTCGGTCAATATTTAGCGGGAACCTGACTTTTGTATGAAAAATTACAAAATTTGTATTCTATGGCGTATATATTTTCTCTTAAAGGACTTGAACCAAGAATCGTAAATATAGTACCATTTTATAGACATTTTCACATCCTATACTCACTAACTGTCTCTTAAAGATAAATACCGGTTAATCTTTTCCTATGCTACGATTGTATCAGATGCTTTCCTCTTCCCTATAACGTCACGCTCTCGTCATCAATCCGAATGTGCTATCTCATAAATATTCACTAAAATACTTTGTAATTAATTACAACCTTCATCGATAATTATACTATTTTTCACTTCATAAAAAATTTCAATTTATAAGAAAAGTGTAAGACACGAATATATATTTTCATTTCAACAGAAAAACTAAGAAAAGGAAGAAGAAAATAAAAACGCAAATTAAAAAATTAACAAAGCAAATCGAAAAGTAATTTCTTCAGGTCATTCACTTCGGGTTGGCTGGCAAAAATGAACGTCGTTCATTATTTTTATGCATCGCCAAATGATACGCTTTTACGACTTTTTCAATACAATTTTGTAAACTGAAAAAAAAACAAATGTAATAAATGATAACAAAGGAATAACAAAACATAAAATGTTAAGATATTAAGATTTCTTAATTTACTTTTCAAATTGTTGTTTAAAAAGGATTTTTAAAATATCCCTATGCCTCAACAATATTTAAACAAAATTATGCCTAAAAAAGTATTTAAAAAATTCATGCTCAAAATAAATTTTTAAAGCATTCGCGCCTTGTCATGGATTTGTGTTTTTTTTAATCCAAGCCTTGTGCTGGACCTTTAAAATACTTACTAACATAGCTGGCTTCTTGCAGAACGGTTGTTCCATAAGCCGAGCTTAAAACAAGATTTCCAAGCGCGTTTGCCTTGTGAGCATCTCCTTCAATTTGAAAGACCATGCTCCGAGATGTTGTCTTACCATCTAATTTGTGGCCTTCCCCTTCTGCGGGAACCATCAGCTGGTTGGCTTTTATATGCCTTTTGATCCATATAACAGCATGGGAAGTATCAGCGTCTTGTAAAGTGTGAGTTTGGTCTGACGGGAGGTGCGAATTAGAATGCCCCAGCTCAAAAGGCATGTAAAAGCGAACCAGCTGATGGTTTCCGCAGAAGCGGAAGGTCACGAATTGGCTTGAAAGTTTAAAAACAAGGCCAATTCGTGGCCTTCCGCTTCTGCGGAAACCATCAGCTGGTTCGCTTTTACATGCCTTTTGAGCTGGGGCATTCTAATTCGCACAAAATGACCTTGCCACCGTAGTCGCTGCAGCTCAATACGACTGACTATGTCGATGTCCGCGTATAGATTGTAAAGCTCGTGGTTCATTCGACACCGATATTCACCGTCGACGCAGATCGGCCTGTATATCTTTCGGAAAAATTTCTCTCAAACACCCCAAGAGCTGCCTCATCTGCTTGCGCAAGGTCTGACGGGAGGTGGCCTTGTTTCTATACTGTTTATTTAGTAGCATCTGTTGGCCATCACAATCCTTCTCCGAATTTCAAAACTAATGTCATTCGTTTTATTTATGGCGATACCAAGGTATATAAAATCTTTAACTACCTCGAAGTTGTAGTTCTCAAGTTCCACAGTTGGTCCGAGTCTACTGCACGTCTTGCGCATTAATACCATCAGCTTGGTCTTCTAGTCATTTCCTGCCAGGCCCACGTTGGCCGACTCCTTCTCAATTTTTTCAAAGGTGGCTGTTACCGCTCGCAATGTTCGGCCCATTATGTCGATGTCATTGGCGTAGGCGAGTAACATGTGTTTTTTGGTGTACAGAGTGTCATTTCTGTTCACATTTGCGTCTCGTATGTACTTTTCCAGAAGGATGTTAAAAAGATCACACGACAAATTGTCTGAATCCTCGTTCGGTATTGAAAGGCTCCGCTAGGTCCTTTCCGACATTAACTGCTGACCTTGTGCCACTTGAAGTTATCCTGCATTGCCGTATTAATTTTGCAGGAATGCCGAACGCAGACATGGCTTTAAATACCTCTGAACGGATAGGGCTGTCGAATAGTCGACGAATAGGTGGAATGTATCGATGTGTTTTTCGTGGGTTTTTTCCACTCTACGCCAAGAGTGAAAATCTGGTCAATGGTGGATTTGCCAGGTCTGATGCAGCATTGGTATGGTCCAATAATGTCATTGACCATTGGCTTCAGTTGTTCACACAGTACACTGGATAAAACTTTATATGCGATGGGAAGTAGACTTATTTCTCTATAGTTGGTACATATCGTCTTGCCTCATTTTTATGCGCGGGACACAAGATGCTGAGATTCCAATCATTGGGCATACATTCTTCTAGCCAAATTGTACTAATCAGGTTGGTGCATGATCCTTGGCCAACATCTGACCACCAGTCTTGAATAGTTTGGCTTTTAACCCATCGGCACCTGCTGCTTTATTATTCTTTAGACGATTGATTGCTATTTTGAATTCATCTTGGCTAGGTGGTATACTCACGCTCACGTTTTTCTTGTTCTTTCTTTTTTTTCTGAAATTACGTTTCTCCTCTCTCATTCCTCTTGATAATTCTCCATCGCATTACGTGTTGCTACTGTTTGCAGGGTTGTCCTATACGCTGCGTTTTTCATGTCAGTAGCTAGAGTTGGGTAATCTAGTTCACTTAACGGATCGATCTTTCTCATTCCTTTTTTAAAAAGGAACTAATTCCTTAATGTAGTTCCTTTGATCCATATAGTTACTTTGCTCCAAATAGTTCCTTTGCTCTTTATAGTTCCTTTGCTCCATAAAGTTCCTTTGCTCCATATAGTTCCGACTCCTACATAGTTCCTTTGAATCTCTCTCTCTCTTTCATCGTTCTTTTTTTCGCTCACATAGTCCCGTGTTGATTTGTTAATAAATGCAAAAATTGAAAATTGCGCAAAAATGAACAAAAAAATGAAATGAAGCTAAAGAATTCAACTGCAGGACGAGTTGAATTCTTTAGAACGAGATCAAAAATGAGCGAGATCAAAGGAACTATATTAATTACAGAGCTGGAACTAGTTCCGATCGTTCCTTTCGCGGAATAGTTCCAATGAACTAGTTCGTTCCGGAACTACCCAACTCTATCAGTAGCATTACGACACTCCTGATGGTACCATGGGTTTCTTGATGGTGGTTTTTGGTACCCAAGTGTTGCTTTTCCTGCAGTTTGTGGGGAGTGGGTAATTCTTTGCCATTGTGCTTCTATACGATTTTGGGACAAGGTATGCTTCTGCCATCTGTAGTGTTTGCACCTTTTCGACGTCGAGTTTCCGTGTTACATTAGATCGCACCTTTGCTGCGAACCTTGGCTGCCACAAAGTCCGAATCGGTATTCGCTTCTCGTATCGATCGAACGTCTAAAACACTGGACGAATGCCTTCCGTCCATCACAATAAGGTCAATTCGATTTCTCGTTGCTTGATTTTTAAAATATTCAAAAATCCACACTTATATTTTTAAACAAAAAACAAACAGAAATATTTTTTAACAAATTCACACTTATTGGGAATTATTTTGAAAAAATCCACTTTTATTCTGAGAGTCGTTAAAATCATATTTGTTCTGGTGGTCTCAGAAAAAATGTTTTTTTTATTAATTTTTTACAGTAATTTTTATTGGATATTAACGCATGTCTAATAACAAATATTTGCTATATTACAGCCTACTACCTGCAGCAATGTCCGCGTGATGAGCAATACATTAATGAATGCTTACGTGACAGTGGCAACAAATTGGTCCATTATCTGCGGCAAGGTATTCCCGAGCTGGAGATGTATGAGGTGGCAAAAAAAAAACTACGCATTGGGTGGCAGCACTTATTTCATTGCTATTTTTTATTTTTTTCAGATTGAACCAGTTGATATCGATGAAATTGGCATTTCATTGGGTTCAGGTCCCGATGGTTATCGTGCCTTGTTCCGCAACATTCAAGCATTTGGTGTTAGTAATTTGACAATTACAAATGTGAGGTAAGTAAATGAACAAAAATTTTCCATATTCATGACCTCCTTGCAAAACATGCTCCAAATTACATTCATATTTATTTTCTAATCCATAACCAACACATAAATATGTAAATATACGTTGCACATGACACGTAACTCCATCCGCAATGTGTGAAAAGTAGTGGTCGAGTATGTGTGTGTTTTCTAGTAAGCGGCGTCATTCATGTCACTAGACCGCCAAAATTAATGGACTATAAACGAGACTAGTTAAACTTGTTCCTCCAAATCGTACAAACGTGTATCGATTCTTTTGTAACGACCTTGACGGCCATTTGGTCATTTTGTTGCATGCCAACTTTAGCTAGCCAGTCATCGAAACACCAACCCATCGAACAGTAGTTGTGGCATGCAATGACCACAAACTTTGTATTTTTATAGGTGTCACCGTCATATACACAAATATATTCGGCTTAGTTGTGCTTCAATTGCATTCTGTTACTGGCATTTAAAGTATCCAACGGTTTGGTGAAATGGAGTGACATACAATTTAAAAATATTTATAAACCAGTAAGGAAAGTTCAAAAGTCGGACAGGACCGACCACTGCTACAAGAGGCGCTAATATATGTTATGTCCTGTAGATAGATCAGAAATATCATCGAGCGAAGTTAAACGTGTGATTTACATAGATATTTGAACCTATTTGTGTACCATTTCTATAAAACCGAACAAAATTATGTATGTATGTAGATCGGGACCTAATTGAGCAACGGTGGCATATTTGGGATGCCACTTCGTGTATATGGAACAGACGCAGGCTCCTCAGTGAACGTAAAATCAGACCAAAATATATCTACATCTAAACCGATTTTCACGAAGCTTAACACGCATCCATCTAGACTCAATTCAGTACGCTATACCCAATTTCGTATAAATCGAACAAATATAGGGGCCTTGGTGCACCATTTAATAAAATCTGACGAAAATATATATGGGAGCTTTATCTAAATCTGAACCGATTTTCCCAAAACGTAACAAAACTAGTCTCAATTAAATGTGCTGTGCCAAATTTCGTGCAAATCGAAAGATATATAGGGCCTTTGGTGCACCATTTACATAAAATCGGACCAAAATATAGATGGGAGCTATATCTAAATCTGAACCGATTTTCACGAAACTTAGCACACATTATTCTAGACTCAATTAAGTACGCTCTGCCAATTTTCGTGCAAATCGAAAGATATATAGGGTCATTGGTGCACCATTTACTGAAAATCAGACAAAAATATATATGGGAGCTATATCTAAATCTGAACCGATTTTCACGAAACTTAGCACACATTATTCTAGACTCAATTAAGGGCGCTGTGCCAAATTTCGTGCAACTCGAAAGATATATAGGGACTTTGGTGCACCATTTACATAAAATCGGACGAAAATATATATGGGTGATATATCTAAATCTGATCCGATTTTCCCAAAACCTAACAAAAGTAGCCTCAATTAGGTGTGCTGTGCCAAATTTCGTTTAAATCGAAAGATATATGTGGACATTGGTGCACCATTTACATAAAATCTGACGAAAATATATATGGGTGCTATATCTAAATCTGAACCGATTTTCGTGAAACTTAGCATACATTATTTTAGACTCAATTAAGTGCGCTGTGCCGAATTTCGGGCAAATCGAAAGATATATAGGGTCTTTGGTGCACCATTTACTGAAAATCGGACGAAAATATATATGGGAGCTATATCTAAATCTGAACCGATTTTCACAAAACTTAGCATACATTATTCTAGACTCAATTAAGTGCGCTGGGCCATATTTCGTGCAAATGGGTGCACCATTTACATAAAATCGGACCAAAATATATATGGGTGCTATACGTAAATCTGAACCGATTTTCCCCAATTTCAATAGGATTCGTCCTTGAGCTGTGCCAAATTTCATCCAAATCGGATTATAAATGCGACCTGTACATTATTTTATTATCGAACGTTCCCATGCCTCACTTTCCCACCCCTGTCGACCGAGGGGGCGACCTCCCCTTTGTAGGGATCGCGTATTTTTTTTTTTTTTTCAATTCAATACTTTGAGCAGATTTTTGTTCAGCCCAATTGTAATACCCTTTTTCTCCATCACTTCAATTCAAAATCATGGCTTACATTTTGCAACATTACTACTGTCGCATTCTCAATGTGATATACCGGAAAGTTGACTTTGAGGCTAGCTGAGGCTCAAAAGAAAATTGCGCAATTTCATATGTCCATTTGTGCAAAACTCAATTCGTAATCATTTGAAATCGATTCATTCAAACATTTGAAAACATGTTTTCACCAAATAATATTCGTGACAATCATTTATCTTCCATCTCTTTTTCGCCACAGATCCGATTTGGAGTCATTGCAATTTCAGCTGACCTGTGAGATACCACGCATCAAGGTTAGAGCCCAATATCGTTCAAGCGGTGTTTTAATTTTGGTCAAAGCATCTGGTGCCGGTGAATATTGGGGCGAATATGGTAAGTGGTGGCGTCGGAATTGTAAAAAAAAAAACTAGTTTTGTGTTGCGTGTTCTCATCAGAACCACCACAACAACAACAATAATCGCAAATAAAATTAAGCTTCTTATATTACACATCATAATAATTATTATTGTTCTTTGCTACAATTACAGAGGGTGTCAAGTCAAAAATGTATTTCAAGGCTGCACCACATGAGGGTCCAGATGGCCGTACATATTTGACCACCGAACAGGTGAAAATGGATTTCAATGTCAAGGACATACAGATGGGTGTTGATAACATTGCCAATGGCAATTCGGTTATACGTAAGTAACAATCTCCATATTTCATATCTCGAAACCTCCTCCTTAACATAACTCCCCTTTTTCTCACCTTTTCCTACAGAGGCCGCCTTGAATCTGTTCATCAACTCCAATGCCCAGGAATTGCTGAAGGAAATGAAACCAGCATTGCGCACAAAACTCACTCTGGTCATGCGTAACTTCATGGATCGCCTGTTTGCCCGAATCCCCCTCGAGGAATGGATTAATTTGGATTAAATTGATTGATTTGATGTCTTTGGATATCAACGAATCATCAATCGCATAGCTTTAAGTTTAGATTCTTAGTATCTGTCTTTTATTCTCCTTAATAGTTAGTATGTGAAATAGTTTTCGCAGAAATTCACAACAACAACAATTCTCGTTAAGATTAAGTTTAAAATAAATGAAATCATATTTATTGTTTACATTAAATTCTAATAATTATTAAGATAAGTAAATAAAGAAAAAATATTAAAAATTAAATTTGTTATATCCTTTGGGAAGAGTGGTGATATTATGTGAGTATGATTTTTGATTACAGTAGCTGTATGAGAAATGTTACTTTTCCGAAAATGTGTGTGCTTGGTCGAAAAAGTCCAGGACATAACGAGAAATAATTTGGAAAATTTGCAGAGGTCGGTAAGAGTGTCTTAAATAAAAAAAAAAAAAACAGTAAGGAAAGTAGTAAAGTCGGACGGGGCCGACTATATGATACCCTTCACCACTATGGGTATATTAAACAGGACTATTAACATGAAATTGGATGAACTAAAATATGTGATATTTATCTAAATGTGAATCTACCTAGATATATCCATAAAGTATGTAAATCGACTTCAAACAAATATAAATAGATCATCCGTTGGGCTATTTCTGTACTACTAGAAAACGCAACTACGTAATTCTATGCTCAATTTTGTAAGTTGTGCAAAATTTGATGTCAATCTTACTAACATGAGGAGTTTGATGCCCAATTTACTTGAAATCTGGCGAAAATATATATATATATTTGGTGCAAATCGTAAGATATATAGGGACTTTGGTGCACCATTTACATGAAATCGGACGAAACTAAATATGGGAGCTATATCTAAATCTGGACCGATTTTCACGAAACTTGGCAGACATCATTCTAGACCTAAATGATTAGGCTGCACCAAATTTCGTGCAAATCGAAAGATATATAGAGCCGTTTACATTAAATCGGTTAAATATATATAAATCTAAACCGATTTTTCCCAATTTCAATAGGGTTCGTCCCTGGGCCGAATAAGTGACATATGCCAAATTTCATCCAATTCGGATCATAAATGCGACCTGTACTTTGTTTACAATTTAACATGGACAGACAGACGGACGGACGGACATGCATAAATCGACTCAGAAAGTGATTCTATGCATATTCTCAAAAGGAACCATGTGTCTATCTCGTTTCCTTTTGCCTGTTACAAACATATGCACAAAGACATAATACCCTGTACCACAGTGTGGTGAAGGGTATAAAAACAATGGAATGGAAAACTAGCCGCAATCGAATAAGTGGAAAATTGGCGGTTGTTAGCAACAAAAACAGTAATCAAATAAAGCTTCAACACTTTGGGTAAAATGAACAGATGTGTCCTAAAAGACGTCACATTTTTCCAAAATACATTGACATGAAATTGGACGAGCTTAAGTATGCAATATTTATCTATATGTGAACCGACCACAAACATAGTTAGAAAACCCTTCACAAATTCAAAGAAAATCTAACTTTCAGTGGTTCTATATTCTGAGCTTGGGCAATATATATATACTTAAAGATGGGTCTGGGAACAATATTTCGCAGCGTTACAAACTCTTGGGGCTGCACAAAGCTATAATACCCTAACAACATAGTTGTGTAGGGTATTATAAGTAAGGTCTTATCCGATTGCATTTTCCTAGTTCATACGATACCTATCTACGTACTGAATAACGTGTTAACATTTGGACCCGATTAGATTATTAATTTTTTGAGTTATCGTGAACGCCATTTGTAAAAACACTACTTTGAGAAAAACGGGTTTATAGGCACAAACAAAAAAACAAAGTCCTTCTAGGCTTAATTTGAAACCTTGTGCAAAATTTCGTCGAAAATATTTAAAACTGTCCAAAATATTTACTTCATTGGCAATAGGCCAATGTTTGGGGGGTTCGTGCACCATTTACATAAAATCGGACGTAATTATATATGAGAGCTATATGTAAATCTTAACCGATTTTTCCCAATTTCAATAGGGTTTGTCCTTGCGCCAAATAAATGAGCTGTGTCAAATTTCATTCAATTCAGAATTAAAACACAGCCAGGCGAATGGTGGTTGTGGCGTTTTTTTTCTTTTTTGGAAGAGTTCATTTGTTTAAAGAGAGAAAAGAGAGACGAAAAATGAGGCCAAATAGTCCCAAAGTACATCGAAGTAGGGAAATAGTTGTAATATTAATGAAATGTTTACATTTTTTGGAAAAAATAGTGACTTTATCATAATTATAAGAGCTTGTAGGACCAGTTTTGGTCAAAGAAAATCCCGACTGTGTTTGGTAATAAATGGTAAAAATGTTGGGGACCAAATGAATCAAAAACTTTATTTTCCTCGGCGTTTCCTATCTCTCTTGATCAACGACGTAGCCAGTGTCCGGACCCCAGCTTAAAATTGACACCCATTATAGTGATGTATGTACTTGGACGTGGGAATTACACTTAATTATTAAAAAGGGTCTAACTATTCTGATATTAATTAGTATTACCATTACCACACTAGAGGGAGCAAATCACGCGCTGATTACTATGAAATTTTACATGAAATTCCGATTATGGTCAATATTAAACTTGGTCATTCCGCTTTGTAAGGTATATATGTATTATATTCTTGATCAATATAAAATTTTATGTCGATTCTATGTCCGGTGATCATGAGTGAGTTTTTGGTAAAAAAAAAACATTTATCATATTTTTTCTCTTCCCACAACTGAAAAAAGAAAATCGTTTCCCACGATTAAGCAGAAAAAACGAAATATTGCGAGAATTTGGAAATATGACTGGCATATGAGAGAAGAATTACTTTGAATACGAATAAAAATAATCTATTTTGAAAAAAATATATAAATTATTTATTGATCAAATTTTGTTCTTTTGCCTGCGCCCGAACGTTTTTTGATTCACTGTGATGTTGATAGTCTTAATTTATCATAGACCTTCAATGCAACGGTCGGTATAGGATACTAGTTTACAAGGTACCATACTGTTTATTTTCGAACACTGACTACCAATGACTATTCCCTGAACTAAAATCTGATACGAATGCTCAATAACAGGTTTCCATTTCGGGGCGGTGGCTAGTGGTCTGTGAAAAAAATAATTTGGTGGGGTGGGCTACGTCGTTGCTGCGTCTAGAAATGTTCGTCGAAGGAATGAATTAGTGCATTCATTGCCCTTGAACTTGAACCTGAATTAAAAGTAAGAATCAATACTGCAGGACGGCCGGCCGGCCAGTCAATCTGCAACGCTTAAAGAATCCTGTTTTGTTCACCAAACGAACCGAAGGTTAAAAATAAAGTTTATGAACTGTGATTCTCTTTGGTTGTTGACTCTGCTATGTAGACATTTGTGTGTGTCTATGCAATATTTTCTCAATTTTCATATTTTATTCAAGAAAGAAAATCTGGTTTTGCAACTAGTTAAGTTGCACTGAATTCCCATTTATTTTTGAGTACCATAGTTTTGTTCTATTTCACCCATTGTCCTCTTCTTTCTACCTTTGGTGTGTTCGCTTCAAACAAATCCCGAAAGCAAGACAGCAGACAAACATTTCGATATCTCAGTCAGTCTGTGGCCCAGTCTGATCCGTATGTGTGTATATATAGAAGCGTTGTTTTTGCCTCATCACATTCACAGTCCGACTGCGGATAAGACTGTATTCTTTCTTGGTTAAATCGAATTCGTAAACAATTGCAATGGGTGGTAAGTATAGTGAACGATTTATAAACAATATTGAGATGTTGAGAAAATAGCCACGCTTCGTAAATCATTGAAAAAATCTTTACAAAGTATACGATTCGGTTATGAAAAATATTATTTAAAAGAAATAAAGAGTTAAAACTAGTGAGCGGAGCAGTATAGTCGGACGGGCCGACCATATAATACCCTACACAACTGTTGGACCTTCAACTGTGGCCTATAGATTGACTCAAAAAAAAAAAAAACAAAAAGTTACTTCATCCCAAAATTATTATCTGATTATCACCCTTGACCATAACTGGAATCTCATGGATCAACGCGATCAAAGCGATCAACGCTATATTTCCGCCCTCCAGTGTGGTTTTGGGTTACTAAATAATGCCCGAATACGTAAACACCTGTAAATATTTAAGTGTAACTCCCACATCTGAGTACATACAACCATATAATTGGTATCAATTTAAAGGTCAACCACTCCTCTTGAACATACTATCAACTTTTCGGGTCTAGGTCCTTCAGGGGCAAGTATTGACGCCATAGAACACAAATTTTGTCATTTTCACACAAAAGTCAGGGTCCATTTGACCCGCTAAATATTGACCGATCTTTATCAAAAGAGGCATGCTTATTCTTTGGCTCAATCCCCTTCTCCATGCAAAAATTCGCGGTGTGGAGCCTCCGGAGCGACCAGAAAATCATCCAAAAATAAAGTTTTTGGTCCATTTCATCCCCTAAATATTAACCGATCTTTTCCAAAAACAATAGGGGTCTTCATTGGCGTTACAAACTCTTGGGGCTGCACAAAGCTATAATACCCTGAAAACATAGTTGTGTAGGGTATAAAAACGTTTATAATTGACAAAGATACCCGCGCCATATTACTCATTAAACATATATTCATTCATTATATAATTCAATGCTTTGAATGGTCCATGAAAATATATTCTTATACAAATCTACGCTACGGATGGTCCATGAAAAACTATTTTTCAAAAAATCCACGCTTGAGGTGATCCGCGAAAAAAATATTTTTCAACAAAATGCAAGATTTGGATGATCCAAAAAAATATGGTTAAAAATGTACGCTTGGGATGACCCGTAAAACGTATTCTTGAAAAATCTACACTTCGGATGGTCAGTTTAAAAATATTCTTTAAAAAACTAAGGTTTGGGATAATTCGCGAACAAATATTCTGTTTTTGCATAATAGTCAGGCTGAATCCCAGTTTGTTGTTTTTATTAAAAATAATTATTTATTAGTGGG